GTGTAACGTAATGTATGGAGGAAATGATAATAAGCCTGAATTGTTTGAAAGTATATACTTACATATATATTATTGATCAGCAATCTAGGAATTTTTGAAGTACAGTATGCCGATGTGGGAGCGTTGAGCATAGATCGAGCATTAATTTCTTGTGAATTTTCAGTATGGCATGTTCATATATATGAGAGGAAGACAGTGTAACATAATGCAATGCAGTTAATAGTGGAGGAAATAATAATAAGCCTGCATTGTTTGATTGAAAGTTGATGATTGACTTTAAATACAGGTTTCCCTCTAATTAAAGATCCCTTCAATTAACGACCACCTCCAATTAAAGACCACATTTTTATTTTATCTTTATTATTCTGAAAATATCTGCTAAAGACCATGAAAACCCCGGTCCCCGTCTTCAATTGGAGGGAGCCTGTACTTACATTGTCCATTTTCCCTATTTAGGCCTAGTTAACAATGAACAATAATCAGAGTTGGGATCAGTGGTGTATCTAGGAGTCTTGAAATGTGATGGGGGGGGGGGGTTGAAGTGGTTGATAAAGGGCGCAGTTGAAGCTCAGAGGCTCGATGCTTAAGTAAGGGGACGCTAGCTCGCAAAATAAGGTGACGAGATGATTTTTAAATAGGCCTATAACTTGAGCGTAATTGTTTTGCTTCGAACATTTTCAATTAGGGACTGGAGCTTATTTAGAGGCATCCCCTAGATACACCACTGGTTGGGATTCTAAACGCCTCGTGTCGTCCCTGCTCTCGCTCTTTCTCCCTTTTCGTCAAAATGTCTCTAAACATCCCTGATAGGCTACGATGAACGAAACTTATCAGTTCTTCTTCATCAGCTTTTGGGAATGTAGCTAGCCTAGAGTAAGCTATACCACACGATTTAAAACAAAACATAATATACAACGACTGGATAAAATAACATTATTTATACATTTATTCACGATTCAATTCAAGATGGCGATCGAAATGAGCAATTCATCGTGATATTTTAAAATATTAAAAACTTTAAGCAATCGGTACAAAATATCAACAACCGAATAACTATTTATTCTGAATAATATGATGTAGATTTCGTTGCCCATGTTCAAGGTAAATTTTGTTTTCAATTTAAACAAAATTTAAAGTGAAATTATATTTATGTACCTTACAAAACATTTTAGAAAAAACTAAAAACTAAACATGTTTCTCGTTATGGTATTTTTTTTGTTACGGATAATCATTTCTTTACGATGATTGGGTTTATGAAAGGTGGCAGAGACCAATAAGATATTAGGGAGTGGGCAAGAAACATGTTTTTTTTTTAGTCTGAGCTAATCAATATATTGTTTAAGATTATCAATTTACATAGAAAATAACAATAAACTGTAACTATCGTTAATATAAATAATAGATACAATAATACTAACACTGACAATAATAATAATAATAATAATTTTTAATTTTATTAACACAACATATAACACAGCTTGAAATCATATCGTACATGCTTATAATAATGGTACTAAATATAATAATAATAATAATAATAATAATAATAATAATAATAATAATAAATATAAATTTAATTTCTATAAGGCTCGTTTGTGCACATTAAACGTTTGTATAATATGCAAATAATGGTGATTTATTAATTTTATATTTAATGTAGAATTAAGTAGATTTCATATTGAGTATTATTATTAGTGACGTTGTGCTTTCTTATTCGGGATCGAGGTAGATCATTCATTTCTCGTAAAACAAAATCCTCTTTGTGTATGCATTGCAAGCAATTAGGAAAAAAGCTCCATGGTTTTAAATACAATATTCACATTAAGAGCTAGGCTTACATTGGTAGTCAGAATAACGAGGTGATGACACGTCAGGCACCCGGGATATACATCAACTTTTACGTGCGATATTTTGAGTTAAATATGCGTTCACATTAGAACAATTTAAACGCGTTGATGCGCGTTGCGGCAACGCGTCTAAACTGTTCTAGTGTGAACCGAGAATTAGAAGCGCGTCATCTGATTGTATTTTGGGCCTATTAAGGTTTTCTGCTGAGTACGTATTCGCTGAATTGCGAGCCTTCTAAGCCACCCCCACTAGAAGCGACCACATTGAATCCGGTCTGTAGAAACCTTTGCAATACTTGCACCATGTTTAACTTACAATAGCCATTTAACGGGAAACGAATCACGTAGTTCGATTCTTGGGTCCATCCGTAGTTACTGCCAGCCGAGTTGCATATAACGCTCCCGACCTCTGGAAACACCTCGTGAATGAGATTCTTATCACCGCTGATATTAATCCGCTCGCCACAGTCTGGTGTCGTCTGAATTATTACGCACTCGTGGTCTGTGTTTTCACCTTTCACTGTCATTTTTTGTCTCTGGTTTGATGAACGAAGTGCGTCCATAGCATCTAGCATTTCATGAAGTTCGTAATATCTTACCTCCTCGTATAGGGCGTCCATTTCGTTAAAATTCAATGGTAAATTAAGTTTACTAGTGCGCAGAAAGTTCAGAACGTTTCGAAATAATGGGCCATCACGGTCGATGAAGTAATGTTGTTTCAAACCATCAAGCACTATTGGTATTTGTCCACTAAAGAGTTTGCTGATTTTTGAGTTCGGATACTTTGTGAGGGTTTCCAGTGACGAGGTATACATTGTTCCTCCAACATCAATGTGTACGGGTGCTGTCTGACGATGAAGGGGCGCTACTCGTGGGACTCCTTGCGGGGACGGTGAGCTGCAGGGTGAGGTCATTACAATTCTGGAATCTAGAATATATTGATAATTAGTGAACTAGGGATTTTCTTAGGGAAAGTTCGAAAACTAAAATATTTTTCTCGCCAATTAAAAGCCTCTTATATCATACCATTTACATCATTTGCGTAACACCCTTTGGCTAGCAATAATTTTCGTTGCAATTCAGCGAAAACTGAATCGATTTTATCTGTCTCATAATGTACCACTTTGGAAATGTCAATCAAATCTAACAACTGACCAATGAGAACAAGGCCAGGAACACGTGCACGTCCCAAAGGCACATGTACGTTTACGCTATAGTTTTATGGGGCTTAGCAACGATATCTAAGGGGCGGGGTTAGGCGGGAAAATTGTAATTCATTACTTGTTAATTCTTTTAAATAACAATTCGATTTTTCATTGACTTTTAGGGGGTTTAGATTTTTCATTTTATTTTCATTTTACCACAATGTATGTCTATATTTTTATGTTTCCCTAAATGAATATTTTGGGAAACAATCTATATGGTCATCATTTAAATTGCACTATCATATGTCACGTTGTTTTTACCTCCGTTGTATTCGTTTAATCGTCTGGTCTTAGCAGCCTTCATCTGTTCCTGCCAATGTGATGGAGTGAATTCCTTAGCGCAAAGAGAAAAAGTCCTATGTGTTACTGTAAGACACAAATAGATACACAGATATACATTTCAAACCTTTTTAACAATTCAAATTGCGTGCTTCCTAAGTGGAAAATGACATTCAAAGTAAAGCCATACTCTGATCACATTACCCTTTATCCTAATGAAAATATCTCATTACTAGTTATGTCAACTTAAATTACCTTTAAAATCTGCGGAGTAGATAATAGAATAACCCTAAACGAAAATGTACACGATTCACCATTGTCGTATGAGGTATTTTGAATATTATTCTCTACTTGTAGTTTCATCTACATATTGGCTGGTTTAAAAGACATACTTCAATTAAAGGCAGTGTAAGTACTGTACCACTTTTACAAAGCATTTCCGTGAAAACTAGTGAGGGCGCACTCCAAACTTAACATTAAGGATAGGCAAATTCGAGTTATAGCCAGTAAAATGGTACCGTACTGTATTCAATTTTTTTCATTTAGTAGACCATGGACCTAAATTAGAGAAGTTCTCCACCCGTAGCCTGTACTCCTTGTACTCCTTTTGGTAGGCCTATTAAGTGTTTTTTTTTTTTTTCGGAAGGTCTGTGTTACTGGGCATAATTTAATCTGTGCATCATTCAATTAATTCTGATTTCCTCTTAGTTATTTTACTAATGGCTCATTATGTTAGCTTCATGTTACTGCATGTTAAAATTCGAGAACATATTTTAAGGAGGAGTATTGCCTGGGGACTTTGTTTCCGGTTGCTAGTTTTAAGGTCGAAGGTTCATAGAAGTGTATGTCCAGAATGTTTGATCCTGCCATGGGGGAAATCATTATCTTACCCAAAGGGTAGGCTCTATCAAAAGAAATGTGAATACATCAAGAACTAAAGATTCTTGATTTGTGAGGCAGTTGTTTCCGTCGATAAATTTAGATATAAACATCATTGCATGAATGAATGAATTAATAAATAAATCAATATTAATGCATGGATGCTATATTGCATGAATGAATGAATGTATGAATGATGGATGGATAAACAGATAAACGGATGGAATGAACGACAGACGAACGAAAAATGAATGAATGAATGGACGAAACAAACGAACGATTGAAAGAACAACTAAATGGAAGCAAACGAACGAATGAATGAATAAATAAATGAATGAAGCGAATGGAGGCAATTAATTTCGGCCTATCACGATTTAGTCCTCTGATATGATGTTATACAAAAACGCAACATATAAACAACATTGGCATAATAGGTTTATACCTCCATTTTAGGACCAAGGAGGTATAAAAATCCTTCGGGACTTGCACTCATACACCGCATCATCACAAGTTACGAACGTGCCGATGATCTTTAATGTGTGACCGAATACACAAAAAGTGCGGGTGTACAGTAAATAGGCCTACTGTGTATAGTCAGTGCTTTTGATACAATAAAAGAAAAAACCAGAAAGTACAGTGGGCCTAAGTCAATAGCCTATGGGATCTCTACTTCGCAAAACAAGCCACTGATTATGGATTAAAAAAAACATATGCAATGACGTTACATCTTGGTCCTTATTGTGTTCTTTAATTAAACATCAGCCTTAGGCAGCAGGGAGAAATAAAGTGCAAAAATAGACGATAACAAAAAGTATAATAAAAATAGGCCAATATTAAAATAGTAGTAGGCCTAATAGTAAAGAACAAAATATATAAATAACAATACTGTAATAGCAACAAAAACGATAACAATACTGTACTACATGATGATGATGACGGTGACGACGACGATGCCAATGTTGATGATGTTGCTGACGGATGATGATGATGCTTATGATGATCAAGATGAAACAATAACAGTTATAATAATGGTGGTGGAGGAGGGAATGATAATGATGATGATGATGATGATGACAACAATCGTGATAATGACGATGCTCCTGGAATTACGATGCTCTTAGTATGAACTGTGATGATAAGATAACGATGATTGTGATAAAGTAAATATACTGTAGGCACGATACTAAGTACAGTACGGTATTCCGGCCATCTCATTATTAGTTTATTACGACGGTCCATCACAATATTATACAATATCTGCGGTTTGATTGAATGTTAACCAGGGGTTCACCCTCTCACCATTGTCCGGTGACGTGCTCCTAGTACTAGTGTATTATTAGGGGAAGCAGTATATGGAACGGTTTCTGCTTGACGAGATTACGATATATGAACTTTCCTTTAGTTGGATGACGATAAACTGTTTTTAATAGGAAAATTATTTTTTCATTATGCACTTCATCTCCCGCGCCTTATAGAGTACAGATGAGGGAGGATTATGTTCTTAACTGCGTTGAGATGATGTCGATAGTGATATCATGATGATGACGACGATATTGATAATTATAAGATAGAGATGGTGACATTAATATTGATTATGATAATGATGATGACGATGAAGCTAATTATGATGAAGATAATATTGATAATGAATTATTTAGCAGTATTGAAAATTATTTCGAAATTCGCATTCCAAAAAACCACTTGAATATAATACAGTAGTATATAACATTATTGTCAAATTCAATTTACAATAATATTATACTAATAATAATAATAATAATAATATTATTATTATTATTATTATTATTATTAATAATATTATAATAACATAATAACAATAATAATAAAAAATAATAATAATACTGTAGTAATAATAACAATAATAATATAAACAATACGGCAATACGATATATTGACGCTGTTGCATATGAGCCACGAATATTTAAACTAACTCGTGCTATAAAATGTTAAGATTCTTTTGAGGCAACATTAATAATGAGATTGGCTTAGAACGGACTAAACACTGATTTTATGTAACAGCATATCCCGAAGCGAAGCCCGAATCCAACACGACCGTCTCCGAGGATTTGCATATGTTATTAACACGTCACTGCAGAGCATTCATAACGGTTCAGTTTCAGCATTTAAAAGATAAAAGCAGCGATAAGGGTATTCTGTGACCTGTCACCAGAAAACATTCGTCATTGGAGTTCTACGAAACGAAATTGTTTTTAATAAATGTCGATGATTATAATTAATAATACTATTATAATGTGTAAATTAATATATTTTGTTGTAGGAGTATTAACTATAATGATGAAAATTAATTACCGTATCTATACCTATAATACAATGAATAATAAATAAATAATGTTACATATCCAATCTATAATTATACCAAGAGTAAGTTATCTATTAATGTTTTAACGTAAAAAACTATTTGTTAACATGAATAATAATGTTTTAACATAAATATTTATATTTTATCTTGAATAGGCCTATTTATAATTTAACATGAATATTAACCCTTAAAATGGAAGCTTTAAGATAATTATTGTTTACCACATACATATTTTTATTTTAACACTAAAATATAATGGTTTTGCATGATTATAAATAATAATTATGATTAACGATTATAAAGGAATTATAAAAGCATTGGATGTCTTTACCGATCATAAAGTTTATGAAGTCGGCTTCGAATTTTAATTTAATAAACGATAACAGCAATGTGCAGCAACATTATTTATTTATTATTCATTGTATTATTAGAGTACGGTACCACTAGTTAATAACTTCCCTAATAACAAGACTTTGCATAATATTTAAATTATACATTCTTCGAATTAATTTAAGTGTATGTAAAATTCGTTATAAGCACAGACGAGTTTATATCCGCGGGATGGATAGATAAACGGGAAGGGCACGATTTGGAATAGGTAAAGCCCAAATATACTACTATTTTATATATCCATTTATTTCCTAGATAATAATGATAAAATATGCAGTCATAAAAACATGTAATGATCCTTGAGAAGAGCTGATCAGCAAAAGATATTAATAACTGTTCCATTTTTGTTGCCAATGCTTCCGAATGAGCCACTTGTCGCGGTAGCATAATAAATTGTCTATTGACCCGTACTACTATAAAGTTGTGTGTGGATTCTGTGTGGTTCCACTACACTTGACTAAATGGAAAACGTTTTTATCCATGGAAAAATATGCCCACTTTATGAAGATGACGACGGGCCCACTTACTTAGCTAGGCCAATTTCTATTATATATTCTTTGATAATCTGGCGAGGAAGCTCGGCTTACTCGTCCATGGCCTCGAGTTAAATTATGCTCCATGCAGCCTAAAGAAGAAGTCTGCGTTTGAGTACTGCATGAACGCAAAGAATTAACAGCGCCTTCTTGTGTTTACGCTGCCTTTGTAAGGTTGAACTATTTTACACATTTTAAACGTACTTACCTAATGACGGACTAGCAAAAATACGTCGAAATATTCAAAAATATGCTCCGATATTGCGAGAAAGACTTCTTCTGTGAACTGTAAGCACTAGGAATAATGACACTCTGGTGAAAACGTTAGCCGCGGGCGATGCTAAGTGCCGCAGGCGATCACGCACATTTTCAGTCTCGCGAGATGCGCCAATAATTACAAGCAAGCCGTAGGCGATTTAGCTCTTTCTTACGGCAAATAACAATACACACGCACGGATATCTAATGCGTGGATATAAAGCCTCCCTGTATAGGCTTACATACATACTGAGGTGATTATGATTAGGAGGCTAGTGAGGGGAAGTCAGAATTTTGACAAAACCAAATCGTTCATTTTTACAGCAAATAATGGTCAATATTTTTTACTAATGAAATAAAAGATATTGTCAGTGATTATGATTATATTTATGTAATGATAATTCTCTAGGCTTATGGGCTGCTGGGATTATGTTTGATGAATGACTTTTGGTCAGCTCCTAGACGGCCTCCTTACTGCCGCTGGCTAAACTTTCAGATCGTTTATTTGCCTCGGAAAAGAAACGCTTTTGAAAGCAATTTTTTTGCAGCACAGTTAAACGATCAACATTTTATGAATAAACAGAAAGACAAGGCAGGGCAAAGTGATTTAAATCAAAACAACTAGCATCCACTGTGCGCTATCTGTATGTTTTGTAACACAGTACTGTAGATATACGGTACGGTATGCGTTGTCAATACCAGAGAGGGACCCCCAGATCGAAAGTACCAACTGTCATTCTCGCCATATACCCTTGAGGTTAAATATTACACAATAATTAAAAACTTTGAATAATCCATACTATTTAAAGAGGGCGCTCTCATGGCCAAAATAACTTGGGCTTTTCTGTATACCGTTATAGAAGTACCGGTTATATGAGATTGTCTTACCTAGTTCATGCATGCTTGAGTTGCTAAAGAATAAGGTAATAATCTTAAGATATGAAAGAGACATTAGCCAAGGCTAAGCAGCGCTCTGTGTATGCGAACGTGTTTACAGTATTACCAAAGACGCTTGTTTTGTTAACGTTGGGCTTTTCTGGTCTACCCCTGGGGCAGATTGAGGCTTATAACAGCCATAGACCTTAAGGATCTCTCCCACCTGTTCAGGGTTAAACGCTTAAGGGTTGAAGTAAACTTGAGTAGATTTCGTCGCTAGGTATTTTATTTGTTAAATAATCATAGAAATTATCGTGTCCGATCCGCTTAGTAAGACTTAACTTTAAGGTGTGACTTACCTCTTACTAGATACATTACTAGTAGGCCTATCTGTAAGTAAATTTGCAACAGCCCTCTCACATACTCCAAACATTTCAGTTTTTCACTGATTTACATAATTTTTAATACGAAAATCCTTAGACCTATATTGATTACCAGTCAATTACAGGATACCGTTCTAATATTCAATTTAAAGTTAATGACTTACTTATACAAAGTAAGAAATTAAATTTACGCTTAAAACGGATACGAAATGGGTTTTAGAAGGTATTTGTTTGGGTTCTGGCCATTCAACATAATGTGGAGCCTTAGATCTTAGTTAAGTGTGACAGATTACGTCGGCGGGACCGAGATATTTCTTTTTTCCCTCGCTAGTTCTAGGAATACACATCCTCTATGATTGTTTATACCATAGCATATATTTTCGTTCTCTATTCACTACCGACCACGCATGTAATATTATCATCATTACTCGTATCCTTACCCGTGAACACTTCGACGAAGTTCATGACGTCACTTTTGAGCCCGTCGTAAAATAGGACATTATGTCAGATGTATATAT